TCCTACCTTGGGTTCTAAATTTATGTTGAAAAAGTGAGTTATTTAACAAAGATGATGGGGGAAAAGAATCACGTTCGGAGAAGGTTAACTAGAATAGAGGAAGAACTCACAGAGAGAGCAACAGGACAATCACAGAAGGATGATCAATATCCAAGAACCAGAATCTTTTCTGAAGTGAAGTGGAAGGAGTGACATTCGCGGTCACATGGACGTTGGGTTCAGTTGCCAGCTCTCCTATTTTCAAGCCACTTAACAAGGCAAAGGGCAAGCAGAGGAGTAATGAGAGATACTTACTCTGATTTGTTCTTAGAAATACCAATAGCATCAAACAGGAGACAAAAACAGTGAAAAAAGAAGTGAGCTCTATCATCCACTCTGCCAGTGACTGTGTATGACAGGTCACTTCATCTCTCTGAGTTTTTGCCAAAGTCCTTCAGTTCTAAGATTCTATTGTGGTGGTTCTCAACCAAAGCTGCCCACCAGAATCATTTGGGCAGCCCTTGAAATATACCTATGCTTGGAACCATAGGGAATTCTAATCAAATAGTCCTGGGGAATGGCCTGGATGGAACTAGATGAAGAGGTGATTCAACAGGACAGTGGCCCTGGATGCCAATCAATGCAGAGTACAGAAACACCCTGGACATGCAAAAAATTAGAAAATTGCACATCTCAGAACTTCTCTCAGTGGCAATATTCCTGTTGACTGAAAAAAATGTTGACAAGTTACTTGAATGACAACAAATGTTCACTAAAAAAAGGGTGTATTTACTCAACGGTTTTCTTTTGCTGAGCATAGTCTGACAGTTTAGAGACAAAGCTTATACCTCCTTCTCTAATCTTCCCCCACGGGACACTCAATGTCTCCTCTAAATAATTACCCTGTTAATCAGCTGGTCTCAAGTCTACACATGTCTTTGATTCTGCTGCCCACCAGGCCAACCCCCAGATTTTAACCAGACTCCAAGTGAGAGCTGCTATTCTGGAAATAAAGCAGTTATTTTGTAAACCGGGAAGTTCTATATTATGCTTATCATCTTCATTATTATTATGGAAAGGTAGTATGATACATAATAAACAATTAGCATTATTGTCATTAATATTAAAATACTAGCTAGCATATTTTTCTCGATATTAGAGAGCTCTAGAACCAGCTACCTGGCTCCAAGTCCTGGTTCTATTACTTTCTACCACTGCGAACTTGGACAAATTAATTCTTTTCTTTGTGATTTGATGCTCCCATCTATAAAATGAGGAGAATCGTAGTGCATATTTAAATTTATTAGGAAAATTAACTATGATTATGTACATACAGTACATATAATACTGCCTAGAATACTCAATAATTACTTTTCATCATAATTATTATCATTAATATTATTATGAATCAAGGATGTGTTGAATCTGGAATCAAAACAAGTGTGACCAATCTCAGGACTAACAGATTAAAAAATTTTTAATTAAAAAAATAATAAAAGGAATCAGAAAAAGCAACTGAGACAAAGCTGACTCAAGTAGTTATTTTCCAGATACTGTCAGATACAGACTCATAGGATAGAAACTTTATCCAGTAAAACCAATAGCAAAAGACACTGGCCCAGGTTTACGGCCATTACCAGAACCAAGATATCTAGTCTCTGCAATCGATAGCCAGTAAAAAAGATCAAAAGATAAAGCTAAGCCAGACCCGGGGAATCAAAGAGCCATTTTAGCACAGTTTTAAACCAGCCACGGTTACCTGGCTTCTCTCACTAGACAGGAGTAAGCTGAGGACCTGAGCCTGCCACAGTACTGGTCCTCAGATATAAGCCCAGCAAGTTGACAATCTTAGCTCAGAATGAGGAGACCTAGATGCATTTGATAGTAGAGAATTACAAATAAGTTCCCTGCCAGAATTGTTATGAAAATGTAATGTTATCATGTGCACTTTCATAATGTAAATTATTATAATTATCATTTGGGTAAAACTAAGTAATGAATCTGAGATGCCCAGTTTTCCTCTTGGTTCATTCTAAATAGAATGAACATCATTGCTGTTTTATCTGAGTTTAAATTTATTACCCAGGTAAATTGGTTACCTAATTTTTGTGCACCTTTTCTTTAAGTAACAGCTTCCTTCAATTCTTGATTTCCACTTATCTCATTATTACTTCTCTCCTTTCTTGGTATAAATCACATTTTATTAATTCCTGGCCCTGGGAGTTAAGTTATCCATATAACAAATGTAAAAGTGAATTCATTAGAAAGTGCATTTTAACAAATTCATCAAGTACTATGTATGATATGTAGATATGTTAACGTTTGAGAAGATTTTTATTATACAAGAGAGGACCCTTGACACAAGCAAGCCCAATCAGAGTCTTCCATCAGAATCGATATATGTATTTTAGGGAGAGGGGCTGCCTTTTTTTAGATCTTAAGCCTTAAGGATTTGAGCTTGGAAATGTGAGGGCCATCTTTCATGTTACACAGGAAAAGCCAGAGAGAAAGTGTACCCAGACCTCATAAGGGGGGCGGATTACGAGATGCAGCAAGACAGATCCAGAACATGACTTGAGTTCCTGCCCTGCCTGAAGTCAGAACCATCTGTGAAATTCTCAGTTAAATGAGTCAATAAATTCTCTTTTTTGCTTAAACTATTTTGAGTTGAGTGACTGTTGTTTGAAACAGAGAGTTCTGAAATATATACTATAGCAATATCAGCCATCAAGTATCAAATACCAAAAGAAACATACATTTACCATTCCGGAGCATGAGCATCGTGCAGAATACATTTAATTTAATTTCCGGTCTACTTCTGAAGCTCTGTAGAGGAGGTGGTCAATGGGCGAATGGGTAAACATCATATCTCATTGTCAGGAAGAACACTCTTCTTTCAGATCATGCTAGTTTCCCCTTCGGTTCTTTTCCAAGTATCTCCCAAACCCTGATTTCTGACTAGTTAATAAACTGTCTCCAGCTGTTTCCCTTGTTGTGCAAATTTCAACAGAAGGAGGAAAATCAATTAGCATGCACCTGAATGCATTTAGACAAGACTTTCATGCGGCTTTTTACTATAAAAATATGAGCAGCCCTACAAAAATAAATCAACCTCCTTTGGGAATACGAGACTGGAAATGAGGGACTTTCTCTTCACTGAGTTAACAGGATTGGATGGGCTAAGTGATCACAGTTATAGATAACTGCTAAAGAGAAGTTTCCTACATAAATCAGTTATAGAGTGTCGATATGAGTTTTTATTCTCTGGAAAGACCAAGGATAATATGCCACTTTGCTACATGAACACATGGGGCAGAAGGAAATGATTACTTTTAATCCTCTTGAAGGACCAATTAATTTTCAATGGGTTCTACTCCGTTTTATCTCTAGTACTTCGTGTAGGCAATATTGGGAACAATATGTTTGCTCTTATAGTCTTATCAGGAATGTAAGACTAAGGCAAAGTGGAGAATTCAACATTTAATGGATGAGTCCTCAGAAACTTTATCTCTTTTATCTGAGCTGTAAATATGTCTTATGATAAACAAGATACAACGCTTATTTAAAGTCCAAACTAAAAACACACTTTCCTCCAAACAAAATGCAATGGAAACGTTGCATTAAAACAAGCCCTGCGTTTTTCCGTATGTGTGCCTTTGTCATATCTTCAGCTCATGTCATGGTTTTTGCCCTCCCTCCTATTTCTGAAGCATACAAAATGTTTCTTGTCTTAATAACTGTACATCCTAATGCATATCACTGATTAGCATTTACCATTCCCAGTCAAATAACAATCCTAGTAGCTAACTTCTACATAGTGCTAAGTGTGGTTGTGATTGTTTTGCCCATATTAATTCACTTAATCTTCAGAATAATCCTATGAGGCAAATAGTACCATCATCCCCATTTTACAGGGGAGGAAAGAGAAGCATAGTCACTTGGCCAAGATCACATAGTGACTAAGGGGCAAAGCTGCAGTCTAAGCCATGCTATACTGACTGTCTAGCACATTATTTTTCACAGAAAACGATTCCATTTTTAAAAGAAAATTTGGCAAAGCTGTTACATAACATAGATTAACATGAACACACACAATTTATTCTCCTCGCAAAACTCAATTCGAAAGCCCCTTTCTTAATGCTAACCCTCAGATTCCTCTCCTACAGAACCCCAGGTCCCACATGGAAATAACCTATGAACGTCTATATAATTTTGTACTTTTAAGAAGACTTATCTCAGAAGTCCTTGGATTGTAGTCTATGAACGTCTATATAATTTTGTACTTTTAAGAAGACTTATCTCAGAAGTCCTTGGATTGTAGTTGCATATATGATAATTGTGTATATACACATACACATATATAATTGTATATGATTATAATTATGTATATGCTTTATAATTGTGTATATGTATATATAATTGTATATATTATAATTGTGGAATGCATTCTCAATAATCACTTGTTAGTTGTATTAATTAATACTTTAGGTCAAAATTGCCTTCACCTGAAGCATGGAGTCCGAAAAGTCTCAAATCTTTTGAGAAAAAGAGAGGAGTGATGATGATAACGATGATAATGATAATAATGAATAAAAATGGTAGGTATACAGAGAGAAAGAATGAATCTAGTACTGGGCAGTTCTGTAGAAAATAACTTTCCCAAAATAATTTTGATAATTAATTCCATTTTCTTACAAATATCCACTACCGATATCTACATAGCCATCTCAATATTGTTCATTTACACTATAAGGACAAATGCGGCTTCTTCCAATCTCATATTGAGAAAATTTAAGCTAAAATAATAAGACAGTACATTTAAAGCTTCCTGTGATCAATGGGAACACAAGGTGCCAGTGCATTCATTCTTACTGCATATTTCTTATTGCATATTTTGAATAACAACAGCAAGAAGTAAACACGACGACAATTTCTAAACACCAATAATTATCTCTCTAATTTTCTAACGACTTAGCATGTAACCTCAGAAAAACGCCAATGATATTTTCTATCACCTTTCTCGGAGATGGCACAGTGATGAAAAACGTGGTCTCCAGCATTAAATCTTTGGACTCAGCTCTGGGCAGCCTCAGGTCAGTCCCTTGATTCTCTGGTGCCTCTCCTGTAAGACAGTTATGACAGTTTCTATTTCACAGAGCTGCTGTGACATGCTAAGCCCTGAGAAGAGTAAGTTACATATAGAAAGCAAAAGCAGGGTGTCGAGTACTATTTTAAGAGTATTTTATTGACAATATTCATATCTCCCTAACATTATCCAGTCATCAAGAAAAACCATTCAAAACCTACTTGTACCACAGAACACGCATGCGTGAGGCAAGATGTTGCCTGTTTGGTCATGTTTTCAAGATGATCTCTTAGTCTTTTATTTCTCTGTGAGCATTGCTAAGAAGGAAATGGCAATGATAATTATTTACTTTTTGATGTAATTATTCTGTTCTGAATTCATATTTTTATGTAGACTGTTATTTGCCACACCAGGTCTTTCATCAATATAACTATCATGTTTAATATCCTATTAGTATCCTGATGTAATGCATTTAAGACAGGCACGGTCATTTGTTTTGGTATTTCGAGGCAAGGAGATAATAAAATGAACCACAGAAGAAAAATCGCACGGATTTTGATAATCTGTGACAGTAAAACAATATACTTTTTAATTTCCGAAAGGCTGTGTATTTTCAATTTAATTCATTCCTCCTGAGACTCTTAATGTGATACAATTTGCATATCCATTGTTGCATCTCAAAGGATTAAT